GAGAAATCCAAAGAGAGATATTCAAAGTTGGTAAGAATATTTTATGCAAATCTTTCCCACATTGATGGAATCATCAACTCTAAAGTCAGGAAATATCCCACCACCTTATCTCTTGAACACTTCAGCATAATCTGCAACTTTCCTTTCATAAAGCAACATTATGATCAAATGTATCTTTAAGGTAACAAATTTAACTTTGATATTCTTGCTCTCAGTCTTCTCATTGATCCTACCACCATCATACCATCTCTTTTCAATGTTGGACTCATTTGTCCAAATGTTAGATTAATTCATTACACCATGAACCACATCTTATTTCTGAGGAAAGGAAACTATAGCATTCTCCTAAAATCAAACATATCAGTCGTCTGGTTCTTGGAAAACTAAGTCCCAAAAAATTGGACAAATGCAATACTCACTCATATGCTAGAATGAAAAAGAAAGAACAACACCATATATTATGTTGAACTCATCACACAAATATTTCACTACACTGGTTATCTCTTTGTAGAGGAGGAATCCATTTATTCTCACACCAAAGTAGAACAAGCAGCTTTAAGCAAAACGGAGTACGCAATTCAAGATAGAGATGCCATCCTTCAGCAACCTAGAAGAGGAAGGGAAATAAGAAACCCTCCAACATCAAATCCTTATAATGAAATATGTGATGAGCAAAGGAAAATTAATGCAAAAATCAACATGTTCATCAAAAAATGGCTAGGAAAAATCTAATCTCTCTCGTAGCTTCCAATGAGGATGATGATGAGATGAATTAATTTGTTTTGAATTTTATTTTTAATTTCCCTTCATGTACTTCATAATTTAGATTCCATAATTTCCTTTTTGTATCCTTAAATTTAAATGATATGAATATGATATTTTCCTTTTGTTAAAATGCCCTTATTTTGTATATTTACTTCTCGCAATGCATCTTTATCCTTCTTTTTTATATTGACAAAGGGAGAGAAGTATACTCTCATGGGGAGGATATATTTTCTATCTAACTCAGGGAGAGTGTTATCAATCCAGAATATACATATATTATTTCTTTTACCACCTCCCCTGAGAGATGCATTGTCATCATCAAAAAGGGAGAGAATGTGGAACCTTATTTTGCAGGTAATATATCTTTAACCAATGCGTTGTCTTTTGATTATAACAATGATGATGACAATGATGATGACAACTATGATGAAAAATGTAAAGACAAGTGTAAAGGCATCTATAAGGTCAATCATAAAGTCAATTGTAAAGATAACTGATGATAAGTCAAACATAGTTCTTAAACGTTTAAGGATACAAACCCAAGCAATATGATTTTGATTAACTTAAGAAGGCAAAAAAATGCATTATCTAAAGCCTCAAGTAATCTCAATCAGTGTCAACACAAGAAGATAATATATGGAAAATGGCTTGTAGAAGGAGTTAATCTCCTATGTTAGTAAGTGAGTGATCTTTTGTAAAAGCGAAGGGATTTTACGTAAAAATATATGGTTGTAAGCACAAAATCACTACAACATTTTTTCAAATAACTTAACCAAGAGATAATATTTACAAAAGTGTCTTTAAGTAATACCAGATGACTTAGAGCAGAGGAAAAAGGTAAAGGGAAATATTTGACCCATCTAATCGATTAGGCCCTTTTTCTAATCGATTAGATCAGTTCAAACTCAAGCCTCAAGCTATTTAGACAACACCTTAATGATGTGCAACAACTAGATATATCTTCTTTCTTTTTAGAATGTCCGCCAATGACTATTTTTCATAATCTAATTGATTAGACCAAAATGCTAATCGATTAGCCAACGGTAAAATAATTAAATGAGAATTTCGTTCAAACTTAAGCCTCAAGCTATTTAGACAACGCCTCAATGATGTAAAACGACTAGATATATTTTCTTTCCTTTTAGAATGACCACCAACAACTATTTTTCATAATCTAATCGATTATACCAAAGTGCTAATCGATTAGCCAATGGTAAAAATAATTAAATAAGAATTCCGTTTTGGGTACTCCTTTTGCCTATAAATAGAGGCTTCATTTCTCATTTCAAATCATTCAAAAATGTGTTTGACACTTCCCTCTCTCACACTCTCTCTCTAAAATCTTATTTAACTTTCTCTCATTAGATGTTATAGTCAAATCTTTTTGTGAGAAAAGTCCTTTGTGAGTGAGGATATCAATGTAATTATGGAAGGGTGAAATTGTAAAATTCACCAAGGAAATTTTGGTTATACACCATGGTTGAATACAATCCATTTAGGGATAAAATATGTGGTTAGAAGGTAAATTCGATAAAAAATTTGGTTGGGGATTGTGTGATATGTTCCTTTTTAGGTTGAAGATTAATCGATATTAAAATCTTCCTAGGTTTGAGATTAGCCCGATTAAAATCTCAGAGGTTATAATTTATCCTGTTAAAATCAATTCTGGTTTGAGATTAGCCTAGTTAAAATCTCATAGGTTATTTGGTTATCCTGTTAAAACAAAGCTATTGAACCAGTTACTTTGAAATTTGAAGACTAGCCGCTACAAGATCTGTGTTCGTGAAAAGGAGACAAATCGTTTCAATCTGCGGTTAGGAAGGGAGAATGGCCACTTCATTCTTAGCGATTTATTGGAGAAAAGACGCAAACGTCCATATCCATCGTCTTGTAATATTTGGTTGAAGATCAACCACCATTTCCTTGTATAAGTGGGTTCGAGAGTCATTCCTACTAAAAGCTCTCAAGTATTATTGAAAACTATCAAGACCAAGTATTGGAGAGAGGAGTAGGTCATTTAGTTTTGACTGAACCACTATAATTCTCTATATCCTTCTTCTTCCCTTAACTTTTACTATATGTTATTTATTTCCCGGTGCTTAATATTTGAAAATGATTTTTAAACTTTGATTTGATTTAATTTGCCGAAAAAATTCAAAATCATGTACTAACTAAAACTCTCTGAACTCCTCTTTTAAAACCAAACCCTAGTCTTATTTTCTTAGTTCTCTTTAACCCACTTATTTTCATTGTTTCTACATTTACTCTCAAATTTTATTATATTATATTTTTCTTCTAAAATCAAATATCTTATTTTTTTATTATTATTTCTATTATTAAAAATAATTAAATATTAAACTAATTTTTAATAAAAACTCAAACACTCAATAATTAAATATTATTATTTAATTAAATCAAAACTCAAATAATTATTTAATATAATATTAAAAATATTAAAATAATATTAATAATATTAAAATTAAAACTGGAGTGTTACATAAGATCTATCAATGAGCTGCTCCTGACAGCTTTTAGTTAAAACTGAATTCACATTGAGATAAAAAGGATCTTAAGATTGTGTATGTATGAGACTGCATGATTGAAGGAAGACTTATAAGAATTGATTGATATTATCTATATCAATAAAATGCATCTTTTTTTCGGTAGCCTACTAAATAAGAACTACATAATTAAGCGTGTTTTACTTAGTGTAGTATTTGGATGGGTAACTTTTTGTGAAGTTTCTCGAAAAGTATGTGAGTAAGGACAAAGCATGCTGAAAAGACCCGTATTAGTTTGTTGGGTCAGTAAGTAATTCTGAAAACAGTCTGGGTCATTATAAATTATATGAGAGCAAACCTCTTCCGATATGATGTTTGGGGACGAATCAAGCAGAAGCTGGTGGACATGTAACACTCGAGTCCGACGACGACGGGAGTGGTCGCTGGTGCATAAGGCATGTCAATGAGCGGCTCTTGACAGCTACTAGACAAAAATCAAATTCACATCAGAATGAAAGAGATTCTGAGGTGTTGTAGGTATAAGACTGCATCATTGAAAGAAGACTTATAAGAATTGATTGGTACTACTTATATCAACAAGTTGCATATTCTTTTCAATAGTCTATCAAATAAGAATTTCATAGTTAAGCATGTTTGACTTAAAGTTGCATTTGAATAAATAATCTTCTGAAATTTTTTCCAAAAAACGTGTAAATGACGATAAAACATATTTAAAAATACGTGTAAATGACGATAAAACATATTTAAAAATACGTGTTGGTTTATAGAATTAATTGATTATCCAGAAAGCAAGAGTATGGACTGTTAGATATTGCCCCTTCAATATAAAGATTTAATGAACTTTTTTAATTTCACACTAATATTTCAAACTTACACTTTTTCAATTTCAAACTAATAGTTTAAAACTTATTGAATTAAAACTTATGCTTATCTCTTACTAAGTTCCACCAAACTCACCATTCAATTTCCAACAAAATATATATCAATTATCGAGTTTATTCATAAACTAAAATCAAACTATCTAGAATTCATCAAGTTCATCTCATTTATTTTACATTTAACTTTAAACTTGAGAAGTTCAATTTATTAGGTTTGTAAACCAAATTCAACAAGTTAATCACATAATCAAATCTCAAATTATTTTTGTGAATTTCAAGGAATGTGATAGAGGTGTTGGAGAAAAAGAAATTCACTCACATTGATAGGGTGTGATTTTTTAAAAATCACATACCAGTATGCTAAAATCTCGTTTTCAAGTGTTCTTTTTTTTTATGAATATGAAGGGTAAACATTATGCAACTAATTAAACTAATTATTCTAAATTTATGAGTAACAAGTATACAACTAGTGAAACTAACCATTCTAAATTTTATTAAGTCATAAAGTAGTATCTAACTCTTCCAAACATGGATTAAATTGGATCAAATAAGAATGTCAAACACACTACCTTAAATTAAACTACAAAACAAATCATGTGAATGTGTGAATCACCTACAACAAACAACTACATAAAAAATCAAGGGGGTAGGAGTTCTACACCATTTTTTTCAAAGGCAATAGGTGAGCACAACAAACAGCAAATGCAGTAATGTGACAAGTTTTTGCTGCTAGAAACAGTGCTTCCAATGTTACTACTGCCTTAACTAGTAAATTGCATCTGTCTTTTGAAGACTATACATACTTCTCAACATTTTCTATCAACAACATACTCGATCAATTCAGCGAGGAACTTGTATCGCCGGTTTCGTCCTCGCTAAAGCTAGACGGCATCTCTGCACCAGACCTGTAATCATCGTCATGCAGTAGTCAGAAACAATAGCAACATCATCTGGTGTAAACATTATAACCGAAGGATACAAATGCTTACCTCTGAATTTTCCTTGGTTCTATTTCGGAAGCGGAAAATTGATTCGCGTTGTATGGTAGAAACGTATTTGGTTTAAGTCGTTTTGCAACCTATATACACATAGCAGAGTGAAACATTATGTGCACATTCATGGAAGTAGATAAGTGACTCCTACGGCAATCTAGAGAGGTAGATGCACACAAAAAACTCACCATAGTTTCATTTGAAAGCATCGCTGCTCCACCCGTATCGCGAAATTGCTTTTTTGCCTTCCTTTCCGCCTTGAACATCTCTTCCTGTCATTATGCAACGAAATATTATCATATTTAAAGCCATATGTAAGCAGAATAAATTGATCATTACAAATAGAGCACACGGTGAAACTGAAGATATATTAACGAACCTTAGTCATTCTAGTAGATAGCTCTCTTTCTTCAGTATCTGCAGATCCACGAGAATTACGGATTGAGTTTGAAGGTTTTGTTTTCACATGTTCACTCCTTTGCGCGTTCTTGGGGTTGACGCTATCATAATCATATTGCAAAAACTCTGCATGAACACTCCTTTGCGCATTCTTTGGATTGGTGTTTTCATATTCGTATGGCAGAAAATCTGCATGTTTAACTGGAATGTTTTCTTCATACTGATCACTATGGTTAGAAGCAGAATCAGATCTCATACCCTCGACACCGCGCTTGGTGTCTTTCCTATGATTCTTAGTGATATTATAAGCAGCTTCCCCGGTAGAGTCTTCATACAAATCCAAGGAAGAGTTCCTGGCAGGAACACGAGTGGCATTACTCTGAAAAGCTTGTCGGTGTTTTGTACCATGGAGAGGTTCCTTATCTTGTTTATCATGAACAACCGCATCACGCAAGGAACCAAAGTCGTCATCATCTTCTTCCATATGAGTATCTTGAGAACTATGTTTAGTATAATATGAATCATATCTCTGCATATAGACAAGTAAAGGCGTGTGAGAAAGCATGTTCGATTACTAGGCTTATCGAAATACAAGAATACATGAGAAAAGTCAACTTACTGAGCTAAGACCAGGTCGCCTTTTTGCTGTGGAGATTTCTGGAGATTTCAGAAGAGCAGGATCAGCAAAACAGTATGGTTCTGGGATACAATTCATAAGATTACAAAGGTAAGAATGTCAATGTAGATTTAGAATAGACTATGATACTGTAGCATATTAGAATCCAGTCCCCTAGGAACCAGAGTGCGAAGGAAAAAAAAACCTTATAACCTAAATTTCAAATCATAAAAATTTTGGCAAGTTATGGCATAAAGCTTATGTACTAAATCATATGTGAAAAATAGCAATCTTCTGACAAGTATTAGTAATGAATGAGATCTAACCAGAGTAGTCATTCCCGAATAGCGGCGTGGAGCGGCCGACCCCAAAAGTGGGATAGCAGGATAGTGTATAGCGGGATGACCGCTCTATAGTATTATGCACCGCTAAGGCTCTTCCATAGTGGTCGGCCTCCACTTCGCTCCGCTATAGCAGGATAGTGCCGCTATCGACTACTATGGATCTATCCTAATAAGAACCTCTATCATCCCAATGCATAGCACATAAACATCATGCAGGTTAATTGGAAAGCATTTATTTACCATTCTAGAAATAACTTACCCCATAGCACACCCAGTTTCTATGTTTAAGTATTCACTAAAATATGCCAAATCTAACCTTTTTTACAAAGTGACAAGTACAACATATTCCTTTTCCTAAAAAGTCGGCTATATAGTTAAAAGTTTCAACTCTAAACAACATTGTAGTTTCACATAACTAATAGAATGAGACTTGGAAAAAAGACAAGAAAATAGAGTGCATAACAACAGCTTACCGGGAACTGGATCTTGGGTTTGGCATTCAAAGGCCCCTGGAGGAAGTGGATCAAATTCCACACCAAGTAGTGGACCATCTTCCAGATAATTCCTTCCTAATTGCTTCTTAACAGCAGTTATAGCAGCATGCTCTATCTCACCCTTCACTTTCAAATACCCTGACGGTTTATATCCCATGTTCATTGCACCCTTTGGTTTTAAGGGTGGAAGTGATTTACCAGATGCTAGATATCTAGAAGGCTCCATCTCATACGGACCCTGGCCTTGAGGATACAACCGTTCTTGCAAATAAGAGCTACTCTCAGACGACGTATCGTCCATTCCACTAACATTTTCAGAAAAATGATTCCTACGTCCATAGGTCATATCAGCAACGGACAAATCACGATTATAGAGACCATGACTCTCAACTTCTTTAGGATCCAGATACCTATAATCACCATGTTTACTACTTCCGCATGAATCCTGCCCTTGCCCAAGTCCACTTCCACGATCCTGGATGACACCGCTTGAACGATCTTGTCGACCGTTAGCAGTCGATTCATCTTTCGACAATCTCTTATCTTTTAACCTTCGATGGCAAAACCATCCAGAGACTTGTTTTTCCGTCAACCCTAACTCCTCAGCAATCACTAATTTCAACTCCTCCGTCGGATATTTGTGCTCTGAAAACAAAACGAAAAAAATATATATAACTCTACAAAAATCACCACTTTCAATAATATATACTAACACCAATATAACAAAAACGTATCCCTAGTCCATACCAGTATAAAAATTCTCCAAACCCTTAAGCTGCGCAGGCGTTTTGAGCTTTCTTTTCGTACTTTTCTCCATAGAGACCTTATTTTCTTCCGGTTGCAACTCACTCGTTTCTAAACACCAACCGAGAAACACAAACTTCAGTTCCCGCTTTAGAACGAAACCAAAAAAAAACAATTACACCATACAATAACATACACAATAATCAGCAAAAATCTAGTCCTTCATCAACATCTCAAAAATTTCCGATCCAAGTCAAATTTTCCATCGAATCAGAAAACAAATTTTGACCAAATAATTATTAAAAAAACATTACTGCTACATAGATCCTTCAAAGCTAGCCCTTATTCCACACAGAAAGTAGATCCAATCCAAGTGATTTATATCCAGTAACAGCCAAGAACCAAAAGGGATCCAAATTAGGTTTCTCATAACAAAAATGCATGAAGAAAAAGAAAAACTAATTTCAATTATGATCAAGATTAGTCAAAATTAATCAAACCCTATTTATATATACAACACAAAGATCCCAAATTGAAGTCCTTTTTGTCATACCCACATTGCAAAACCTACCCAGCAATGTAAAAATCCCGATTAAGGGTTGCATTGATTCAATTTCAATTTCAATGTACACAAAAAAACTAACAAAAATCAACAAATACCCAAATCGATTAACAAAAAAAATGAAGATTCGAAAACAATACCTTCCATTTGCGTGAAGAATTCCGATCCTGTGACGAGATTTTGAGGCAAAAAAAAGTGAAATTTTTTGCAGTGACTTATGGGAAAAGCGAGAAGCGTTTTACGCGAAAAGGAAAAGAGAATGTAACGTAAAAGAGAGAAGAAAAATAGAAAAAATTGGGTTAGGAAGAGAGAAAAGAGCTTGTGAAGAAGGTGGAAAGACAGAACGGAGATGAAAGATAGGAACAAAACATTTAAGAATTCGTCGGGTGTTTTTGTTTTGCTTGTTTCTTTCAATCAAGCTTTGTTGTTTGTTCACAATCGTCAGAAAATATTATTTTATTATTAAAGAGGATGATGATAATAATGAAATGAAAAATGTTTTTTTTTCCTTTGGTTTTACGTCATATTTGATGTTTTTTTATATTTTTTTATAACTGAAATGGATTATTTATGACTTGAAGTTATTAATTAAAATGTTTAATAAATAAATTTATTGATGAATAAAAAAGTGTATTTTTTTTTGTTATGAGTATTTATGACATGAGTTAGGATATTTATGATAAAAGTTACTCTTTGTTATAAAATAAGTGTTAAAATTAATACTTTTATATAAATTAAAAAATTATAATAAAATGAAAAATAGAAAATAAAGATGTGATTTCATCCTTATTAATTATTAGAATATTCAAATTAAAATTATTGTTAAGTAAGAAAATAATAAAGTAAGAATATTTATTAAAGAATATAATTAAAAGATTAAAAATAAAACTGTATTATTAATATAAAATAATAAATATTTTAGGACACATAATTTTTTTAAATATGACAATTATTTTATGACAGAAGAAGTAAATCGGAATTGACTGACAATATAAAATATTTGTATCTTTAATGTATATTGATTAAACTGTTTTATTATATGTCATATTGTTACTTTTACATTTATTATGAAATATATTTAATTTTATATTTAAAATATACTTTTTATTAATAATATGAAAAAATAATCTTGCATATGTTAGTATTGTTATGCATAATTAATCTCAACTCTATTTAAAAAGAGATGGTTGTTTCAGTCGATAATCAACGTAAAATATTGTCGAAACTCTATGACACGGGTTATTTACGTAATAATGTGAATGTTAGGTTGTTGCTCATAAGTAATGTGTTGTTTAGTGTCTAAAAAGCAAAGGTCACTACATCATCGTCTGGATGCAATGAAAAAAATAAGCAACGATTTTCACATATTCATGAACGGGTATGGGTAAAGAAGTTAGTTCATGAAGTAGTATTCATTTTGGAACATGAAATATTGACATGTTTAATGAAAAATTTATGAAAATAATGGACATTATAATTAGGAGGAATATCAATTTCATGTGCCTACAAGAAACTAAGTGAACAAGTCAAAAGACGAAAAAATTAAATAGCTTGGGATTTAACTTTTTGTATAACGACAAAGTTAGATCGAGAAATAGGGTGGGGGTTATCATAGAGAATGAGTGGAAGAAAGATATTGTATATTTAAAAAGAGTAGAACAACATATCATAGCTCTGAAACTTATAGTATAACAAGATGCCTTTAATGTTATTAATACTTACACACCTTATGTTAGGCTACCTTAAAGTAAAATTTTGTGAGGAGTTAGAAGGTGTATTTCAGTATATACTCCAAAGAGAGAATAGTATATAAGTAGGTTACTTGAGGACAATCAACAGAGTAAGTTTGGAATTGTGATGACACTCAGTCATTACATAATATTTGCGAATATTTTTTTACAGAACCGGTGAAATTATGAGTTAAAGCCAAGCTAAAATGATGAAAAAACGAGCAAAATTTCCTAAGGTAAAGAAAGTTGGGACTCTGAAAAAATAAGAGGAAAAGGGAAAAAACACAAACTTTTTTGTCACTGGATTTCTTGCAACTGCGATGAGGCAGTTTCCTGGCACGTTTTTGCAATTTTTTATAGATATTTTTGCTACTTTTTTAGGGGCTCAGAATTACATGCGAGAAAGTGACGACAAAAGAGAATTTCATTGAGACACAAACTCTTTGTAGGCTATAATTTATAATGTGGAGGTTTATGGCAACACAAACTCTCCTGAATAAAGAATTCAGAAACCAAATTCTCCATATTAACGAAATCCTTAGGCAACTAAACATGGTAGTCGAGTCTCTCGTAACTAGCAACAAAGAGTTAGAGACTAAAATTTCCTTGCTTGCCCAGGCACCTAGATGACCCTCCACTAGGAAGCATACAGATGTTCTAACAACCGGTAATGGCAAACCAATCAAAGATCCTAAGGGAAGTAATAATGAGAATAAGGAAGATTATAGTAAGGAAGAGATACGGAAAAAAATTTCACTAGATTCATTAGAAACTAAGGTAGATTCCCAGCCAAAAGGTATGTTATGATGTCTAAGGCCCTGCATAAGGAAAAACTATAGGACTTTAAAATTGGTAAAGTCATAAATTTTATAACATTAACCTTTACAGAGGTATGTGAAGGAATTAAAACTAAACCGAAAAAACCTATGCTTAGGATAAAGCTAGAGCCACCCCTAAAATACCTGAGGTTGAATCACTATAAAGTGAAAAGAAGAGAAAAGGTGAAGGATATGAAAAACGGCTTGATAAGTGGCCCTTGAAGCCAAATACTATCAAAGGTTCGACCAAGGATTCATTTTTAAAAGAGCCACCCCGATTTTCTCCTTAAATTGTCGAGCTACCGACATTAAACAGACGCTACGTGGGAAGCAACCCACGATCCCCTTTATATTTTATTTTGTTTATTTCCTCTATTATTTAAATGGTGAATTATTTTTTCTAACAGATACTAACTTGTGTGATTGTATACATTTCAGGTCTTATCGTTCTTGCTTATTCAAGGTAACTATATTTTCAGAATGCAAAACTTTGATGACATGCACATTCAGTTTATAGATGAAGCCTAGAGGAAATGTTATATGGTCTTATCTGAGAGACCTATGTTACCCACCAGATACCCTGACTCTACTTGCTTAGAAGTCCTAGGGATTGAGACTAGCATTAGGTACATGTGTAACCAAGTCGAATGGGATGAGTATGCAGAAGCCAAAAATGTCACTTACCGGAACCTTACCCTTGAGTTCCTTAGTTCACTTACTTACCAGTCGTATCATGGTCGTGTATTCAATAGATGCTTGATTTCATTTAGGTTATTTAGGAGAGATTACAAGTTAAACCACTAGGATCTTGCTCGCCTTTTAGGATTCCAGTATGGTACAACCGCTGCACATGAAGTCCCCAATGATGATTACATACAAGATGTCTTGGACACTTTCTGGAAAGTTATTACTAGTAACGGAAGCCCCGACCCGTCTACCCAGTTTTCAAATCTTATCCGTAACCCGACATTCTGGTACTTCCAAATGATTTTAGCCCAGACATTCTTTGGTAGAAGTGAAACTAGTGAACCTGTAAATGCATATGAGTTATTTATTCTCTTTTGTATCACTGAGTCCCGCCCGCTCAATCAGACACTTTTCTCATAGAAAACCTAGGACGAATAACCCTATCTGCAGTAGAACTTATCCGTGTAGAAAGGACAGTTACCCAAATTGTTTTTTCCCTTGGCCTCCAAAACAAGTTCACCCACCTAATACCCTATTGTGTTTTACACTTATATACATGAACCATTGTCTTAAAAAATCATGGTGCGACGAGTTTACTTAGAGATTAATGAGTAAAAAATCCTCATCAATAATGAAGTCATTCACCACTTTCATCTACCAAACCCATAAAGAACAAGTATCCATAATAGGGAGAATTAGATTTATGCCTTAGAGGACCAAGGAGAAACACCAACCAGACATGCCACCCCTCCTACTCCTGAGTATCGCCCTTTACCCCTCTCGGATAAGACTACCTCATTTTCATCCACTGACTCCGCATAGAGACGTGACACAAATTATGAGCTTACTACCATGTGCCAAGAGATTGCCACTCTTCGAGAGAAAATTGACTATCTTACCAAGCAAATGGAAATAACTAATGCCACTCATTCAGATGAAGAAAATTACCTTTGCCCAAAGATTCTCACCATTCGACGCCAGATCTCAGAAGCTCACATGCCCAATACACGTCAGATACAGGGACCCTCACACCAATCCATTTAGTCATCTATTGGATTGATTTTGTGATAGAATTGTCGAGTACACCAAGAGGACATGAAAAAATTTGGGTGATTATTGATAAGCTGACGAAATCGACTCATTTTGTTCTGATTAATATCAATTTTCCTGTACTAAAGTTGGCGTAGATTTACACCCGCGTGATTGTGAAGCTTCACGGGGTTCTGTCGAGTATTGTTTCTGATATGGATCTGAGATTTACTTCTAGATTTTGGAAGAGTTTTTAGGATGCATTGGGTTGTAAGCTGAGATTGAGTTATGCATATCACCCACAGACGGATGGTCAGAAGGAGAGGACTATTCAATCATTGGAGGATTTGTTGAGAGCTTTTGTTCTTGAGCAGAAAGGTACGTGGGATAGTTATCTTCCATTGATAGAGTTCACTTATAATAATAGTTTTCGTTCTAGTATCGATATGGAACCTTTTGAGGCATTGTATGGTTGGAGGTGTAGAATACCTTTGTGTTGGTATGAATGTGGTGAGAGTGTAGTACTTAGATTGAAGATTGTTCGGTAGACTACTGAAAAGTGAAATTAATTTAGGATAAGATGGAGACTTCGCAGAGTAGACAAAAGAGTTACCATGATAAGATAAGGAAGGATCTCGAGTTTCAATACGGAGACCGTGTGTTCTTGAGAGTTACTCCGGTGACCGGTGTAGGCCACGCCTTGAAATCGAGAAAGCTTACTCTTCGGTTTATTGGTCTGTATCAAATTTATGAGAAGGTGGGAACTGTTACGTATATGGTAGCCTTTCCAACTAATATGTTGAATTTGTATGATGTGTTCCATATGTCACAATTCCAAAAGTATATTTCAGATCCATCTCATGTGATTTCGATGAATGATGTG